GCGCGCGCCGGGTTGGACTGCGTTAACGCAACTTCCTTTGTAATGGAGGTTGCTAGGTCTGCTCACCGGCCGCGTACGCAACGTGCAGGTGTGCTCAGGGCGATGGGCCCATACCCCTGCGCGCTTAGGTTTAGACCGGCGTGCTGGCCTCTCTGTTGAGCCTAGGTGGGGCTGCGACGTGTTGATCTTCCGCGGCCGGGCATGACCCAGGAAAGTGTGTCCGGCCAAATGGGATCAAGCGTGCTGGGTAAGTTGGTGCACCCCTGCAGGGAAGTTAATCTATTCGAATAGCCGTGATCTTCGGTAACAGGACGACTTGGAGTTGTACCTTGACCTTATGACAACTAGAACCGGATACTTAATAAGACACACCCTTCCAAGTTCCACAGACAACCCGGTGATCGCTCTCTAACAGGGCGACGAGGAGAGGATCGCCGGGTAGGATTATGCTATGCGATGCTACTGGAGATGTTACTTGGAGATGCTACTTGGAGATGCTACTTGGAGATGCTACTTGGAGGACTTCAGTCTACTCTCTTCTACATGCTGCAAGACGGAGGCTGCCAGAAGCGTAGTCTTCGAAAGGACTAGCTATCCCCCTCTTATTCCGGCATTCTGCAGTTCAGTCCACAAATGATAGCCTTATTCCAGTTGATACCAATGCATACATATGTAGTGTAGCTCCTTGCTTGCGAGTACTTTGGATGAGTACTCACGGTTGCTTTCTCCCTCTTTTCCCCCTATCCCTTCTACCTGGTTGTCGCAACCAGATGCTGGAGCCCAGGAGCCAGACGCCACCGTCGACGATGACTCCTACTACACCGGAGGTGCCTACTACTACGTGCTGCCCGCTGACGATGACCAGGAGTAGTTATGAGGATCCCAGGCAGGAGGCCTGCGCCTCTTTCGATCTGTATCCCAGTTTGTGCTAGCCTTCTTAAGGCAAACTTGTTTAACTTATGTCTGTACTCAGATATTGTTGCTTCCGCTGACTCGTCTATGATCGAGCACTTGTATTCGAGCCCTCGAGGCCCCTGGCTTGTATTATGATGCTTGTATGACTTATTTTATTTGTAGAGTTGTGTTGTGATATCTTCCCGTGAGTCCCTGATCTTGATCGTACACATTTGCGTGCATGATTAGTGTACGATTGAATCGGGGGCGTCACAAAGGCTGAGGCTAAGTAAGAAGGAAACAATAGATAAAGACATGCAACAAGAGATTGCAAGGGAGAAGGAGCGAGGGAGACTTGTTTTAATTAGAATTGTTGCTGCTGTGAAATTTCTTGCTAAACATAGTCTGGCTTTTCGAGGATCGAATGAGAAATTATATCAAGATAACAACGGAATTTTTTGGGAGTAATTGAAATGATGGCGGAATTTGATCCTGTAATGCAAGAGCATCTTCGGCGCATTCAGAATAGTGAAATCCATCATCATTATCTTGGCCATAATATTCAGAATGAGTTAATTTCCCTTCTTGGTCGCACTGTTAAATATTCTCTGTTGAGGATAATTAAGGATGCAAGGTATTTCTCTGTCATCTTGGACTGTACACCTGACGTGAGCCATCAAGAACAAATGACTCTAATTGTGAGGTGCGTAAACATGTCAAGTACTACTACAAAAATAGAGGAGTTTTTTCTGGAGTTCTTGAAGGTGGATGATACATCCGGACTTGGACTTTATAATGTGTTAATAGATTCACTTAAATCTGTTGGTTTGGATGTTAAAGATGTTCGTGGACAAGGGTATGACAATGGTTCGAACATGAAGGGAAAACACCAAGGGGTAAAGAGCAGACTACTTGAAACTAATCCAAGAGCATTATTCATGCCATGCGCTTGTCATAGCCTGAACCTTACTGTTAGTGATATGGCAAAATCTTGCGGTAAAGCTATTACCTTCTTTGGTGTTGTGCAAAGAATTTATATATTGTTTTCAAGCTCTACTAAAAGATGGCAGCTATTGCTTGATCATGTTTCAAAAATGACAGTTAAGTCTTTGTGTAACACTCGATGGGAGAGTCGAATAAAGAGTGTTCAGGTAATCAGATATCAAGCGCCCGAGTTAAGAAAAGCATTACTGGAATTGAAGAGAACTTCTACCGATGACGCCAAGACTAAGAGCGATGCAAAATCTTTGGCTAGCGCACTTGAGAAATTTGAATTTTTACTTGGCATGGTCATTTGGCATGACATTTTGTTCACTGTAAACATGGTGAGTAAGAAGTTGCAGTCTAAGTTTGTGTGCATTGATGTTACTCTTAAACAGATTGAAGGTGCCATCTCATATTTTAAGAAGTACAGAAATGACGGCTTTGCAACTAGTCTGGATATTGCGAGATCTATTGCAATTGACATGGGTGTACAACCTTTGTCTCCTGTCAAGAGACGTATTACTAGAAAAAGACAGTTTGATGAAATTAGTGGCAATGACGAAAATAACCAGAATGAAGAAACGCAAGCAAGTGAGGTGGAATCATTTAGAGTTAAATACTTTTTTGGTGATGATTGATGTTGCAATTGCTTCCCTAACTACTAGATTTGAGGAACTGAAGAAATTTGGGAGCATATTTGGTTTCTTGTTCAACTCGAAAGAGTTGAAGTCCTTGGGTGATAATGATCTAAGAAGATGTTGCACTAATTTTGTCAACAAATTCACTCATGGTAAGTCAGCAGATGTCGATCTAGATGATTTCGTTTCTGAACTAAAAGTACTGCAGATGACATTGCCAAACACATTCATGTCAGCGGATCAGATATTTGAGTTTGTTAGAGATGTGGATTGTTATCTAAATGTCTCAATTGCTTATCGTATCCTTTTGACCGTACCTGTGACTGTTGCATCAGCTGAAAGGAGTTTCTCAAAATTGAAACTATTGAAAAATTATTTGAGGTCAACGATGTCTCAAGAAAGATTGAATGGATTGGCCATGTGCTGCATTGAGAAGAATATGCTGGATAGTATTGATCTTGACACTCTCATTGATGATTTTGCGTCAAAAAATGCACGAAAGTCTCGTTTCACATGATCACTGGAGGTTAGCATGCTATTTCTATATGTTTTTTCTGCGTTGTAACTTGCATGATACTTGGTTTGGAACAAAGACATAGAAAATAACATATGCTTGATTCTACTAAAGAAATATTAGTTTTATGATTTTATAGCAATTTTATATTTTCATGTATCAAATTGGATTTTTTTCTCTATTGGGCCCACTGGTCGGGTTCGCACCGGGGCCTTCAAAACCATAGAGCCGACCCTGCATGGACCTCATCTTCTTTAGATGTACTTTAGCTTAGTTCATGTGGAGTTGCATCCGAGATGTTTTTGGGTGCGTGTGGGCCCATCATCGTCTGAGAACTTCGACAACGCAATCTAAGGAATAGTTGGTCCCATTCGCGGTGTATCATAGCTTGTCTTCGCCTTATTTGAAAACTATGGGACCTTACAAACAAAGTTCTTATTGAGTGGCATCTTTATTAAGCATGCTCGCTAATGCCATTTTACAAGATGACATCTTTTCTGTAGCTTTGGAGACCTTTGAGCAGGGGCCAAGAATCACTGTGTGTCAACAACCTCATCTCAAGTCTACACCCTCACGCGGCCACTCTTCCGTGCCGCTTCGTGGTGACTCAGATAGTGAAGGTGTTCGATCTTCAGCAGCGAGGTTTTAGCTGCGAATCTCCATCTCGACATGGCTATTTACTCGCTTTTGAGCACATTTGGCACTTTGTGGACAGACATCAGACATCATGTTGTATTCGTTAAACCTAAGGGCTTCATAGTAAACACCAGCGTGAGCTCTTTTCTATGAAATAAATTAGGAAAATGATATCTGGCGAACGTCAGATTGGGCCTCCTAGCAAACGCTCCCAAAGTCGTCTGATCACGATCGAAAGTGCGGTAATTTTTCTGTGAAACGTGGCAAATTCTTTATGCGTGTTTGGCCTTACATGACAACTTTCACCTTTGATCATGCCAAATCCTACAAAAGTTGCCATGAAACGTTCCCTGATATCGCGGTCAAAAAATACGCACCCAGAGTCAAGGACCAAAGTCTCCTCAAACAAATTACTACAAGGATCACCCCTTTGTTGTGAGCCACAGAGAATCACATTCCTGCAGCAGTAGTAATGATCAGTTTGGAGGAGGCTCGTGGACGGACGGGGCCCCGCCTTCTGTTGTATCCTGGCCTGATGACACGCCACTCTTTTGACCCTAGCTCCCTCCTCTATATCCATGGCCGCCCGTGCCCCCTCCCCTCTCACGCACTCACTTCCCACCCCCCTCTTCCTCCCCAACACCAGCCCAAGAACCACCACGCCCCAGCTAGCTCAATCCAACCAAACCCCCGTCCCCTCCGCCCTCTCCTCCCCGCCGCGAGCTAGAGACCAGCCGCGGCGAGTGCGAGCCGAGAGAGGGGGCGTGCCGTGCGGGATTGGTTGCGCGGTCACCTCCGGCGGTCGCCATCCGCGCCCTTTTCCGCCCATCTCTTTTGGCGTCCAACTCCCGGCCCGGCCCGGCCCCGCCTCTTGCTTTCCCACATCCCCGCTTCAATGATGATGGGGCGGTGGCGGTGGTGGGTTTGGTCCTGAAGCCCCATAAGTCCCCAGGTCCCAATCCACCAGCTGCTCCTTTCTTTCTCCCCCTCCCCGCTTCTCTTTTCAGCTAAGGTTGGACGGACGGCGGGCTCTCTTTCCTTCCCTTGCTGGGGATTGGGAGGCCTCGAGTCCAAGCCACCTCCCCCGTCCACATCCCCGCGCCCGCCTCCCTCCCTCTGCAATTGGCTCGATTTGGGCGGTTTTCTTGGCCTCTTGGTTGGAGTCTAGGGCCAGCGCCACCACCAACCTGCGCGTCCCGTGTGAAATTCGTGTTCTTGCTCCGAGCCTGTCCGGAGCGAGCTGCCTCTGCTGGGTCGAGTTCTTGGACTTCTTCCGGCGAATTGGTTGGCTTCGAGTGAGGGAGGGGTGGGATTTTTCTGGAGTTGTTGTCCTCATGAGGACGGACGTGAGGAGGGGCGCGGCGGCGGCGGGGAGGGACCAGTTCCCCGTCGGCATGCGGGTCCTCGCCGTGGACGACGACCCCGTCTGCCTCAAGGTGCTCGAGACCCTCCTGCGGCGCTGCCAGTATCATGGTGAGAGCTCTTTCTTTCTCTTTTTCAGCTCAGGACTGTTAATTTCTTTAGGAGCCGTCTACTGCGTCAGGAGTGGTCAATTTTAGTTGCTCTGTTTCAGAAAATCTTCCTGTTCCTCCGTGTCCAGGACAACCACTAAAAAAATGCTGTTGGTAGTTGTCACGGCTCGCAAGTAGATTTGGTGTACTGAACATCATATATAAATGCTGCCTGCAGCCAAAGATTGAGTACCTCTAGATGGATAGATTCATTTGATTGCATGACCTGAATTTATGATTCCCTTTTTATAGTACAGATGCACGAGGCATCTGATTTTTGTCATGAAAAATGCATAGGACCATTCCCCTTTTCTTGTATTGTTACCCACTTTGGAGGAGTAACCTGTTACCAAGCGGTCTGTTTGGTAAGCTACCAACAAAAATTGTAAAAAAAGGAAGAGTAACCTGTTGGTGTTTTTTCAGTGACGGCGACGAATCAGGCTGTTATCGCGCTGAGGATGCTGCGGGAAAACAGGGACATGTTTGATCTGGTTATCAGTGATGTGCACATGCCAGACATGGATGGGTTTAAGCTTCTTGAGCTTGTGGGGCTTGAAATGGACCTCCCTGTCATCAGTAAGTTCCAAAATTTATCCATCTCACAGCTGCCCAATTTTCTTACTGATCTTGGTAATAGGAGCCCAGGAGGTACTTCTATAAAGTACATACAAAGATGTACTACATATGTGCAAAGAATCAATTCAGCACACCAAATCCTGTGATTTGTACTTTCTAATTTAGGAGGGGAAAATGTCAGTGCTAACCAATTATTTTCCGTGCAGTGTTATCTGTGAATGGAGAGACAAAAACTGTAATGAAGGGGATAACTCATGGTGCTTGCGACTATCTCCTAAAACCCGTTCGCATCGAGGAGCTTAGGAACATCTGGCAGCATGTTGTTAGGAGGAAATTCAGTACCCATGACTCTGTTAATCTTGATACCTATGAAGAGTGCAATAAGCCACCAAGTGCGGACTCTGACTATGTGTATGGCCAAGTTACATGTGGGTCGCCCGACCAAAGTGGGAGGCCTAGCAAGAAGAGGAAGGAATACCATAGTGAGGAGGAAGATGAAGATGAGGATAGCAGTGGCCAAGACAACGATGACCCTTCTGCTCCAAAGAGGCCAAGAGTTGTTTGGTCAGTTGAACTGCATAGAAAATTTGTTGCTGCTGTCAACCATCTTGGAATCGACAGTAAGAACTTACCAGTACCTCCCTTCTCTGTTGCTACTGTACTTTTTTCTGGAGTCATTCATGTTGCTCACTATTCTTTCATGTTTATGCAGAAGCTGTGCCAAAAAGGATACTCGAGCTCATGAACGTTGAGAAACTCACTAGGGAAAATGTTGCAAGTCACCTACAGGCAAGCCGCTTAATTTACTTCCTTGTAATTATTATTAGTAGTTCAGTACTCTATCTGTTCCACACCGCCTAACTTAAATCTGCACCGCAAAAAGCAGCTAGGTATTCAAAAGATGGTAGTGCATAGAACAAATTACTATAACTAGGAGATAATTTTTGCTGTATGCATATTCTGCAAATTTTCATTGAGTTCTTCAGTGCAAATGATACATGATACTAGCATATACTCCCTCCATCCCAAAATACATGATACTAAAGTTGGTACAAAGTTGTACTAAAGTTAAGACAATTATTTTGGGACGGAGGGAGTAAAATATAATATGCTGAGTGATTAACAGTATTAAAGTTGTTATGAAAGAAAGCACTGCTGTCACCATGATTATAACCTGGAACAAATATACTTTCAATCTCCATACTAAAGCTGGAGTAAGTTTGTATTTTCACTGTTTTTTTGTAAGTATTTTATTTTCACCTTTAAACACTGCAGTTTCATGCAAATTCTGAAACAAGTAAATGTGTAATCTGGTAGAGCTGGAAAAAGGGACTCATTTGGAAACAAACTAAGTACTAGACGTGAATAGATAATTAAACACTTGTTATAATCTGCTTCACAAGTTTAACCGATTGCTTTGGTGTACATGCAGAAATATAGGCTTTATCTCCGACGGTTAAGTGCTGTGGCATCACAACAAGCTGGCATCGTTGCTGCCTTGGGAGGTAGAGACCCCTTTCTGCGCATGGATGCATTCGAAGGACTCCAGGGTTATCAAGCTTTCACCTCTCCTGCAGCGCTATCAACTTTCAGTGCACATGGATTGCTAAATAGTCCTAGAAACAACCAAACAGCGGTTGTGATTCAGGGGGTGGCTACTTCCAGGTCAATTCCGACTGGAAGTAGCAGTTGCACAACAAATCCTTTGATTGGTGATGCAGCTAAGTATCATCTTAGCCTACCAGGAAACCAGCATGGGAACTTGGGACAAGGTTTAGCAACATCGCTTGGGCAGGCCCAATTGCAACAGAAGTGGATGAATGAGGGCAGTGGTGATCTGTCCACCATCCTTTCTGGGAATAGCCGGGGTAATGGCATGCCTCGCATGCTCCCAAGTGTCACAAGCAGTCCATTACTACCTCCAGATCTCGTGGAGTGCACACAGGCCAAAGTAGCCATCCAGCCATCAGTTCGAGCTCCATCTGCAAGTGTAGAAATTCTCGAAGGTGCCATTGGAGCCTCTTCTGGTCCATTGGAGTCTCGTGTATCCCAGCAGAGCGCTCTTCCTTCATCTGGATTTTCTGCAAACATGTTGCCTGTGCATGGTTCATTCAACAATAATGGTGCTTCATTCAGCAGCAATGGTGCAACCAGATTGGGTGATGCATTCTCAGCAAGTTTCCGTCCAACAAATGACCTTGTGGTCGCAAGAGGTACCAAAGTGGGAGCTAGCTCCTTCGGTGGCGCGGTACATCTGTCTCCAGATACCGAGCAGAAGTACTTGAGCTTTGGAAGTTCAGACAGTCTGCTTGATCCGAAGCTTATGTGGAGCTCCTCTCACCTGCCAAGCAATATTAGTGCTCAACATTCCATGAGCCAAAGGTCGAATAATTGCAGCATCGACAGCAGCCACGGTGGCAGAATGTTTGGACAGACAAGCGCGAGCGCCTCGACAGCTGCTCCACAAGCAAAGTTTGACATCCTCTTCTCAGGAGACACTTCGATGGCAAGGAATGCGTCCGAATCAGGCACCCAAAGGCTGCAGAGCGAGCTCAGCTCCAGCACCTGCAGCTTCGACGGTCTTCTCAATTCCATGATCAAAGTGGTAAGGCGACTTTTTCAACCTCCCGCATACTTTTAACTGTATCGTTCCCCGTAAGGTGCATAACCAGTAGCTTCAACCTAGTAGAGCGGTACATTATAATCATTTATATTCATTATATTCACCATAATCAGCCTAGGAACATAACCAGTAGCTCCAGCATAACCATTTATGTTCATCATAATCTCATCGCAAGTGATGCATATATCCTCAGCGCCACCCGATTGATCTAACGATGGTTTTGCTTATGCATACACAGGAGAAGGACGACGCTGCCTTCGGCGATGATCTGGGGTGCGACTTCTACTCGCTCGGGGCTTGCATATGATGAGAAGCCGCCGCCCGTGTATCCAAGCCTCTCCGCATCCTGTTTATAAGCATGTTCCCCCGACCTTTTGTGTATGGTATGCCGTGTAGTGTAGCTAGTGTTGCTGATCTTTAGTAGGCCTAGTGCTGGGCCGTATGTGTATTGTAGTAGCAGTAGCAGTAGCCGCTGTTGGAGAAGCAAACAGGCTGATGGGTTGATTGCTAACTTGAGCAGCTAGAGACGTTGGTGGTTTGATTGTAAGCATTATTATACAGGTGAGTAATCTATGATGGGCTTCGACTTGGAATTTGTACTGTATGTCACAACCACCACCCATGATCAGGTTGAATTTGAATCGAAATGTGGCTGCTGAAACCCATCCAAAACATGGTGCATGCAGACATGAATCGAAATGTGGCTGATGAAACCCATCTAAAATAGCCTCAATAGGAGGCTTCACCACATGTTTTTCAAAGGTAATCTTGTTACGAACATTCCAAATCCCCCAAATAACCGCAGCGATTCGATCATATAGAACTTCTCACCCCCAGGCAGGAAAGCATACATCCAAGTTAAACTCTGCCAATCATTTCTAGGACAACAGGCAGCCCCCAGAATATTGTCAATGCATCCCCAAACTGACTTTGCAATGCTACAGGAGAAGAACAAGTGTTCAGCAGTTTCAATGTTATTGCAGAAGGAGTACAGTCCACTTTTTTTTTTCTTTTTCAAATTAGTATCTCCAGTCAAAACAGAGTTCTGCATTAGTTGCCACATAAAAATCTTGATCTTAAGAGGAATAGAGGCTTTCCAAATCCAACGATTATTAGCACCAGCAATCCCACTTTCAAGCCATTTGTAAACTGATCTAGAGTAAAAGATGTTCTTTGTGGACAAAGACCAGGAGATAGTATCGGATTCATCAACCAACTTTAAATTCTGGCATTGTTCGACCACAAGGTTCCAGTTAGCCAGATTATCACCATACAACCTACATCTAAAAGGCAATTGATGGCCCTGTGACACAAATTTAGCAATAGTACACTCTTGATGTTGACAAATACTTATCAAACAAGGCAGGGAGTTGCATACACAAGGGGATCTCCTGGAACTAGGGATCTTTACAAAATCTCATCTGGTTGCCTTGCTTGAACATAACTTTTTGGAACGAAGGCCCAAGAAGAGCCCGGCTTTGAATTAATAAAGCCATCAACCGGCCAAGAGTACAAGACTGCAACTTACAACACGAAAGAAAAGGAAAGCGGAAATAAAGATACAATGTGCTCAGTAGAACAACTCGAAGGCAAAGAGCACACAACACCCTTGCCATCAAACGCCGCAAAGCCGAAACTAGCTAACCTACTAAGATGACGGGAGGAGGGCACCACCATGCATGTTTTATGTCGCTGACTGCCACCAAAGGACCAAACAGGGGCAACACATGATCTGACTCCGCCGCCGCAAAGGGCCCCTACCCTTTCACCCAGACTCGACGGGTGCCGCACCGGTGGCCGACGGAGTGGTTCACCCTAGAACCCAAATCAAAGTGCCCAAGCTGCCAAAGGAGAGGCAAGGAACATACCCACATGAAACGGAGAACCGACCACTCAATCACTGTCGTCGGCAGCAGCAAGGCAGACCATCGAACCGGAGTTGTCGGACGAAGGCGCTGAAACCTCAGAGAAGGCCAAAAGAATGATACACCATGCCCCCGGTCAAGGATAGGAATCGCCAACGCTGAAGGCCTACCGCCGACACTAAGGCAGGGACCCCAATCCTCTCGCACCAGCGACTGGAACCTTCCGCACCTGGACCAGAGTAGGATGCCGAAGATGAGACCAGGCCACCACATGCCGCCATCGAACCACACCCAACTCCACCACCACTCGAGCCATCCCTGGATGACACCTTCAGGAAGGAACACGCCACCAAAATGCCGTTGTTGCCAGGAAAAGGGGACATGAGGCTTTCACCTAAGCTTATGGGAGGAAGGAAGAGGAATCCCACCTAAGCTTATGGGTGGAAGGAAGAGGAATCCCACCGAAGCCTCCAGCAAGGGAAACGACGCCCAAAGGCGACGTCTTCGGTGTGGCCGCCGTGCCAGCCAGGGGTTACCCCCAAATCCGCACCCACCCACTAGATCTGCGCAACCGACGTTTGAGAACCGGCGACCAGAGCCGCTAGGGACCGGGATCGACGCGAATCGGAGTAGATCGAAGTTGAGGACGCCTCTTCTCCAAGGCACAACCGAACTACGAGGGGCCGCCGCCGCAACCGCCACCCGCCACATCGTGCCTGCATAGCCAGGGAGGCAGCCCACCTGCACCCGCCGACACCGCCCGCAGCATAGGCCACGTCACGCATCGCCGCCCGCAGCACATGCCACGTCACGCATCGCCGCCCCGGAAGCCGAGGCCCTCCACACAGGGTGAAGCCGCTGAGATCCCCGCCGCCACCTTCATCAGAGCCGCGTGGGTGCGCCGATG